GTTATGCTGAGCAAAATAAGTCAGGCAGAGAAGGACAAATATCATATGTTTGCACGTATAGGAAGATTAGGAGGAACTTAACTGAGGACCATGGGGGAGAAGAAGAGGGGAAATAGTGGGGGAGGGGGAGAGAGGCAAACCATGAGAGCCTCTTGAATGCTGAGAACAAACTGAGGACTGATGGATGTAGGGGGGGGCGAGGGGGGAGATGGGCATGGAGGAGGGCACTTGGGATGAGCACTGGGTGTTATATGGAAACCAACTTGACAATAAACTATTTGTAATAAAAAAATTTTTCTTCAGATATTTATTTTTGAGAGAAAGAACAGAGAGAGCAGGGGAGTGATGGGGATGGACAGAGGATCCAAAGCAGGCTCTACACTGACAGCAGAGAGCTCAATGTGGGGCTCAAACTCAGAAACCACGGGATCACAACCTAAACTGAAGTTGGACGCTTAAGTGACTAAGCCATCTGTCTGATGAGAATTTTTTTAAAGCTACCTACTGATGGTAAAATGTTGCCCTAATCTAATTATGTGATCATATAGATGCTACTAAGAAATAAAGTTTAAATTCTTGGGTTTGTTTTTTCAGCTACTTAAATAACTATGTTCATAAATTCTTATATTCCTGTTGTCTATTATTGTTATCCTCTTTCGTGTTATGCAAAATTTTTGAGTTATTATGTGGTACTAGTAGAGCTCCTTAAGGTTCACAGCAATCTTATTTCTAACAATGGCCATAGGTCTTTTTGTTTTTAAATACCAACAGATCAGATTTAACTGGAAAACAGAACAAGCTTCAAAATGATCGCTAGGGAATTTGTTTTTTCTCCTCTAGGATTTAGAAAGGTTTTGATTTGGCTTTTTGGGCTTTTTTATTGACTATTAAACTATTCCTATGTTTCGGTCCCTGCTTTGTGCCAGCCATCCTTCTAAGTGTGGGAGTGTCTGTCATGAATCAGTCACATGTGCTGCCTGGCACCAGGCACATTTCACACAAGTGGACAGGTGTCTTCTCTGAGGACAGAGACTCCAATGGAAATAAAACAGCACCCTTTTGTGTTCCCATTTGTTGTGATAGAGATTTACAAAAATAACTGGAATTTAAATAAAAACATAAATATGTATCAGATCACATTTTTAATACATTTGTATTTGCTTATATTAAATGATTAAGTTGCTTTATGGACCTAATCAGTAATAAAATATTCTTGGCATTCAATTAAAAGTATTCAAAAATTAGTTACAATGTATATTTTCTTTTTGTAAAAAAGCTACATAAAATACGTAGTTCTATATGCCCCTCGGTTAACTCAGTCATTTTCAAAATGCTACTGTATCTCTGTGTACTTAAAATTGTACTAACACATTAATGGTGTGTTTAGTATTTAATATATGGTCTGCCTAACTTCTAACAACGTATATACCACCAGTACCTACCATTGGCCACGAAATTTGGGAGCACAAAGTTTTATAATTAGTATTTGATGTAAATCATGAGATGACAGGATGTTCTAGTTTCAATAGTCAGATGTTTGGCTTATTTAAATACTTTTTATTTTCTCTTCATGCATTCTGGACTCCATAATCCCTAATACCCAAGTAAAAACTGAACACCTGTTGGAAACTATATGTTTTAAGGACATCAGAATGAGTTCTATTTTGCTGAGACTATTTTATTGATGGAGAAATGAAAGAGGTATATGGATAGTTTTTATAGGGTTGACATATCATTGAGTCCATGCATTTAGAAATTAAAGCATTTTTGACCAATGATCACAGCCTTTATGTGAATATTAAACTATATGGTACTACTTAACATGAACGTATTTTTAAGTGTCTGCTTTACTTACACATTCACCAGTTAATGTAACAAATTAGGCACAGCTGATGGATTTTGATAATGGCAGCTGTCAACCTCTGTTAAAATCAATCAGGGCAAGACTGTATATATTATACCCTGTATCATGTCATGAAAATTTATTTACATTTTAACTACTCATAAGCATAACTGTCAACTTTGCTGCTGATAGTTTCATGATGTGTTTTGGCTCTAGGTATTTTACTTCTTTGCTAATTTTTTTTTTTAATTTAAAGCTTTGTGGCATCTTTGAGAAAAATTTTCCAAGTCCCTTAAAATATACCATATATTTGTTTTAATTACAGCTACCTAGAGTTAAACATTACCTTGAGAATACCCTACAGTTTTTCATTCTTTTACTTCTTACATCATCCATCATCTTACCCAGTTATCAGGGTCCATTTTTGAAGAATGAGGCAGAATTTTTTTAAACAAGTATATTAGAATTTGTATTTCCAAAGGAATATTCTTTGAAAGTAGTCTTACCAGTAAGTTATGCATTTATGCTAGTGATGCACCCACTGTGGAAACTGTTGGACCTGTTTTGATACTGATTTTAAAGTTTATTTTTAATGACCCAAAAATGTAATTTTATTACTTCTAGTTACTCTTTAATTTATACTGAAAATTTTATCACTGAGCTTATTTCACCAGACTTGGCCTCTGAATGGTTTTCAGTTGTTTTTAAAACTTAATCATTCCTCTTTCTCCTTTTCCATGGACACGGATTTGCCAGCCATTGAAATTATTCAGGAGAATCCATCCCACACATCTACCCAATTAACCTTTTTTCATTCAGGTTTTAACCATATTTTTTCTTCAGGAACTTTAATGGGTCCCTATCACTAAGCCCATGTTTATCTTCCTAATACTCTGCTCACCACCAGTTTTTCTAGACCCCTTGTTTTCTGACCCTACAGTCAGAGGCAGGGTCTCTGTCTTCTGGGGTTACCCAGCATCTGCCTTCCCAGGCCGTAGTCATTTGGGCATTATCTTCCTCCTCCTTGATGCAGAATTTCTGCAAGGCAGGGACTATTCCTTATTCATTTTTCTCCCTTTACAATGCCTAATCTGGAGCCTGGTACATAATGTACCCTCAGTAAATACAGAACAGAATGTGTTACAGGCTCAGAATTCCATTCCAAAGTTCTGAAACTTTCAAAAGTAATCATATTCAAGGTAGGTCAGAAGGAAGGTATAATTCAAATAAGTTTGTTTTTTTTAATACCATCTTGCCTTCTTTCTGTTCCTTTTATTCTTAGTAGCTCTTTTCCACCATCTCTGAAAAAGGAGATTAGAGAGGGGAATCATGGCAGCAGCAGCCTCTCTCTCTCACGGCCACAGCAGCTGACTGGACCATTTTGAAGCCAGCAGTTAGTTCACTCAACCCACTGGCTTTCCGCACAGGTATCTGCACAGCTGACCGTGCTCCCAGGTTTGGGTGTGCAGAAAGTAGAACCAGCAAGGGCCCTGGAGATTATAGGATGCCGTCTCATAAGACAACAGAGGAGGAGTTTTTCTAAGACGAAGTAGCAAGTTAGGGGCAGAGTTAGAACTGGGACTGAGGTTTCCACGCTCCCAGTATACTGTGGAGCACCTTTACCCCTGTGTCCCCCTGCTTGCTGCTCCCCTTGATGGCCGGCAGAAGTATCTGTTTCTTGATCTCGAGGATGGAAAATACTGGCCATCTGGTCACTCATCATCCCATCCAGTTATCTGGATCCATTTGATTAGATTCTATACACAGTTACTTCAGTAATTGCCAGAGACATATGACAACAGAACTAGAAGATGGGCCATCTGAAACCTAAGGAAACTGAGTAGCTAAAATACTAACAGTACCTTTTCCCCCAAAAACAATGTTAACGTGAATTTCATGGAACCGCATACTGCACACATGCCCTGTTTTTTATCTGTGTTGGTTTAGTTCTCTTCTCAAATGTGAATTAACTTTAATATTAAACATTAAAATCTATGTTCATTGTCTTATTTTTTCCAGTAAATTTCTTGGTCCTCCCTTTTAGCTATTTCCTGTTATGTAAATAATTAATAAAATAGGATAACAATCTTAGTTTGCTCTCTAATAAAATTAATATTAAGGTTTTTAGGCCTCTTTATAAGGAACATGTACTGCTTTATCTGGAGGTATTTTAATATAGTAGTTTTAAAATTATCTAATTAAATATATTCCTACTGTAAGGTTTCTAAAAAGTTACTGAACAGTAATGATTATTATAATAACTAGTAAATAATTTGACCAGAAGTTCTCTATTTTGTTTTACCTAAGCAGACATTTGCCACATGGGATTTGAAGGAAGTGCTCAAAGAGAAGTTTATAAGTGTGGTCCCGTAGAAATGCAGATATGGAGGCTCAGAGCTGCGTGCATTCGGGGAGGGCATCCAGCAGACCTTAGTTGTGAACAAGATTCCATCACAGACTGTGCCAGCTGGTCCTCAGCTTTCAGAATCAGAAGTGGATCGCACTTCTTGCTGTGGGCAAGGAATGGCTTCTGCCACATTTTCAAAGACCAGTTGCATCAGGCACGGTGTTTTCATTAAACTTTATTTCCTATGTTCACGGTTTTTTATGTTCAGTGCCTATGAGGAACATTTGTTGAGTGCTTACTTATATGCCATGCCTGATTTTAACACATTTATGTGAATCAAGTCTGTTAATCCTCATAGTAACTCTTAGGAGGTAGGTTCAAATTTGTCCCTGTTCTTCTGCTGTGGAAATGGAGGCACATTGAGTTAGTGAAGAAGGGGAGTATGAACCCAGAGATTTTGGCTCTAGAGGTTATACTCTTGACATTACACTACACTGCATCTTAGAAAACCTGTGCCTTAGGTTTTAGAACAATTAAATGTTTAGCTTATTCTTTGAATGGTGGGAGTGGAGGCAGAAAGGGAGACACAGGGGTGGAACCAGAGGCCTCTGTGGGCTGAATGAGAATTCATTATGCCTTTCAGAGAATATATGTGGCCAGAAAAGGATGGAGATCTCTTCTGCATGAAGGAAATATTTAAGTTTAATTTCTGTCTGGATCATTGGAGTTCTCACTTTTGACATGTTAATCTTCTAACTTCATGGTCTACAATTCAGGAAACATTTTTGATAAATTCTTTTGTTTCTACAGAAACTCAAACAGAAGAATCAACAGCTGAAGCAAATTATGGATCAATTACGAAATCTCATCTGGGATATAAATGCCATGTTGGCAATGCGGAACTAAACTGATATTTAAATTTCCTGCTTTACACATGTTATACAGTTTTTTTCCCCTCAAGTATTTTTTCCCTTTGAAGAAGATTATTTATCTGCTGTTATTCTACTCACTAGAATTAAAGTTCCTATTTTTACATTGCAGTTTTACATTAAAGTAGTGGCAGTTTTTTTGTTTTTTTAAGCTATTGATTCTATGAAAGATTGTAATAAACTTTGATAGGGTTTAGGTTTGGGTCAGGAATTGAATTTTTAAACAAATTAAGTTTTGTAAATAAATTTTTCAACTTGATCAGTGGTGGTTTTGCTCATTGTTACCCTTTAAGGAGAGAGTAAAGGTTTAAACATTTTTACATGTGAAAATATCTAGTACAGTCTTATCTGTGGTACAAATTAAACAAGTCACCATTTCAGCTTAGTTGTTTTTTAATTTAGAGTCTCAAGTTAAACAATGTTTTAAAAATGTTGTAAGATTTATTTTTGAGTGAGCGAGCACGTGATTGAGTGAGCACATGGATGGGGGAGGAGCGGAGAGAGAGGGAGACACGGAATTCGAAGCTGGCTCCAGGCTCTGAGCTGTCAGCACAGAGCCCATTGTAGAGCTCGAACCCACAAACCACAAGATCATGACCTGAGCCGAAGTCAGATGCTCTACCGACAACAGCCAGCCAGGCACCCCTCCCAAACGGGTTAAAACTAGGAAATAATTAACTTGTATATTGCTGTAAATTGACGAAAATTACTTTTAACATGTGCTTCAAGTGTTGGGTCTTACTTGGAATGATCTCTAACAGGAGAGAACCAAATAGAGTCTGGCACAAATTGAAATCACAACTATGTGCTTATTTGCTACCTGCTTTAGCCCAAGAGGCAACACCCTACCTGATTCTTCAGATACAGCCTAAAGTAATCTTGAGGGCCTTTTAGAAACAGTAAGTTTTCAGGAGTTTTAAATGAGATAGCTCGATGTGACCAGTGCTTCTATAGACTGGTAGTCGGTCTACACTAAGTCCTTCATAGGTCTGCCTACAGGAGCACGTCTCTTAGGTTATAATGTACCCTCAAATGAGAGATTCAAATTCTTACACTAATCCAGAAGCCCCTATCTTGCCTGCTTCTGACTCAGTGACACTGCTATTCAGCTTCTCTTGTATGTGGATAAAGTTTCTCTGGAAGGTTGCACAAGCTTCCTCTGGGGAGGGAATCTGGGCAGTTGAGGAAGGTAAAGACGATGCTTACTTTTCACTGGATACCCTTTGGTTTCTTTGGAATTTTACATCATGCAAGTACTGCCTGTACTGCCTTTTCAAAAAGAGGTGAAGTTTCATTTTAAGTTCTAGTAATTCCCACCTACACCAAGTGGCAGAGCACAAGAAGACAAGCTTAACCGCGTGCGTGGGCCTCTCTAGACCCTGTAACGTTTATCAAAGCAGTTCTCCCGAGCAAGGCCAACTTTAGATGGGGAGTTAAGTGCCCACACGGGGAAGCACTACAGTTTCAAGCAGAGGTAAAGGCATATGAAGCAAGGACAATTAGGACTGATAATTCAGTCTACCTCAGAAATCCATAGTATCTAAGGGTAACAGATTTTATTTAGCCTATCACCAATTGGACATGCAAGGTTTTTATAGTGTTCACTAATAGTAACATCCTTTGCATGGTAGATTGTTGGTTATGATTGCAAATTTAGTGTTTAAGTATTGACTAATAAACAGCTATAAGAATAGTGTTTTTTTAACGTTTACTTTTGAGAGACTGCACACGTGTGCATGGGCGGCGGGGGCAAAGAGGAAGGGAGGGAGAGAATCCCAAGCAGGCTCAGCACCGTCAGCATAGAACCCAATACCGGGCTTGATCCCACAAACCACAAGTTCAGGATGGAAGCTAAAAATCCAGAGTCAGATGCTTAACTGACAGAGCCACTCAGGCACCCCTATAAAAACTGTTTTAACAGAATGGTTTTCTGTTTTAACTATCACAGTTCCTTCTATCATTCAAGGTACCACAAACTCAGCTCTTGGAGGGAATGTGGAAATCATGTCTTTTGGGCCTTGGTTCTACAGAGTAGCTCTACTGTGGAGTAACAAGGTAGCTACACTCAGCTACAGAGCTGTGGCCCCAAATTCTGGGAGTGTGCTTTCAGTTCTCCCAAATGGTTTACCCAGTTACTCACAGATCTACTTGGGACCAATTATGAATGGGTTGGGGGTTATTAAGCACACAGACCCCCCACCCAACCCTAAAAGTCCTAGCTTTTTCTTGAGGGAGAGCATGCCAATAGGTACACAGAAGAGCCAGAATAGCAGTTGTGATAGATGGCCTTGGGCAAGTTAATCTCAGTTTTCTTGTCTGTAAAAGGATAGGTGGCAGTAGTTGATCTGTGTTAGAAATTTAGTTGCAAATGTTAGAAGCCCAATTCAAAATGGCTTCGGCCAAAAGGGATTTATTAGTTCTCTGCGGGGGGTGGGGAGGATGGGGGGAACTGCAGGAACTCAGGCTTCAGGAATTAGAACCCAGATTCAATGCCTCAGGATTCTTGGTGCCTCTGTAACTTCTGCTGGTCTCTGCTCCATTCTTGCTACAGTGGGTAGGCTTTCTCCAAATGGAAAGATGGCTCTCCACCTTCACGTCTTCTCTGCACCCTGACCCCCAAGGGTGGGCCGCTCCTCTAACTTTAAGTGGAGAACTATAGTGGACCCCAATTAGCACAGCTTGGAGCCATATAACCAACCTTTGGACCAACTGTTGCATATGTGGGTACCATGATTAGACTCACCCAGGTTATGAGCCCATCTCTGCAGCCAGGAATTAGGTCTGAGAGTCAGAAAAGTCACTGAGCAGGGAACAAATTTTGGGGTGGGGAGGGGTGAGGGCACCAATTAGGAAAATTTGCAAGAAAAACAAACAGCAAACACAGTCCACCAATGCCCGTTCTTCCTTAGTTATACTACCTTAAATAGTGAGGGAATTGACTCTCAAAAACCCAAGAAGAGTTTGCAGAAAATCAAATGCATCATTCACTACCATGAGAAAACTTAAAATGTTTTTCTGAATTTGTGGACTTCTATGTTGACTTCTTCCTTTATAGCTGCTCTAATTAAGGACAGTGTGATCTTGTCAAACCTTGGTTAGCCTAGCCTGGGTAAAAGCAAAGATAAGCGAGCTAAGGAAAAAAATAAAATAAAATGAAATGAAAACTCCAGCTTCCTGGTAATAAAATTATCTTTAAAATGATTTGGAAACCTAAGGCCCTGATCATTCAAACATTAGTTCCCTTGGCACCATTACAAGCCAAAATGTGTTAGCTTGACATTTTGATGTAGTTCCAGTTTGAGTAATTCATTTTATTTCCTTAAATTCCCAAGGAAGTTTAAGCTAGATAGAGGAGTCTTTCAGCCTTAAACTAAAATGTGTGCTTGCCCTACAGCTCATAGAGTTTGTTATCCTGAATGCTCTTAAATTTGTCCAACATAACTGGATGCCTTTAAGATTTTTTCTATTCCTATAAAACATTTGTGGACCAAGCACTGATTTTTTTAAGCATAAACTGAAAGCTATTTCGGATGCATATATATATTTGACATGGTAGCAATCTTGAATTCTTTCACTTTTTTAACTTAGAGTTAAATTTAATACTTTTTCAGTTTATACATTTTCACATAGGGTTAAATTATGCACTAAGGTATTTGCGTCAGTAAACACACACTGATGATTCATTTTTCAAAAATCATTACTATTGTCAATATGTAATCTACATTGCAACACTAGAATATTTAGATATTTACAAAGAAAATGTGAACCTATAGTTTCTCTGTACCTTGAGGTCTTATTCCTCTAAGGCACGGGAACAGAAGATAGCTAAGTGGCATGCTCTCCGTCAGAGCGACCACAACTTGTTTTAACTTACTCCGTTGCCTATTTGAGGCAGCGTGTCTTCAAGTGTAGTGTACACAAGAATTACTTGGGTGTACTTTTTCAAATACAGATTTTTGGAATGACCACATATGTACTGAATCAGAATGCCTAAGGTAAGATAAAAATCTGTATACTTCACAAGTTTCCCAGTGATCTATCACTGACCCTGGAAATACTTTTTTCTATGCAGCTTAGTGAGTCATTATGAGTATTTTTATATGAAAACTATTCAAAAATAGCTATATTAATCTAAAACAAATTATGCCATATTTAGACTTCTAGCCTTTTGAGTATTTAAAAATAATATATTACAACCTTTGCTGCACACTAGAAGAGCTGGGGAAATGGTAAAATCCCTTGTGCCAAGGCCACACCCCAAGCCAATTAAATCAGAATTCTGGGGTGAGATCTAGACATCGATGTGTTTTAAAGCTCCCTAGGAGGCTCCAGTGTGCAGCCAAGGTAAGAACCACATAGATCCATAAGGATGGAAAAGAGCTTGAGTGATGGGTTTTTCTAGTAATAGTTAAGTATTTGGAACAATGAACTTCAAGAAGTCAAAATCCTAAAACTCACTTCTACCCACATGTACTTTTGTAAGGATACTTGGCTAACTCTATACTCCTGGATGTCAGAGGCAAAGAGCCCTCACTGTCATCATCCACAAGCATGCCACCCAGGGAAAAACTGGAGAATGCCATACAGTCAACAACTTTTACAGGCAAAGGGAAAGATGCATGGTCTCTCACCCTCATAGGTCAGAATACCTCCTAGGCATTAAAGAGGTTGGGTGAAGTCAAAAGGAAGACAACATTTCTCTCTGTTCCCTGTTCCATGCTGAAAATGGCCATACCTTCTTTTATATTGATAAGATAACCAACCTAGATTTATAATTTACTCATCTAACAGTTGTTTACTGATCACCTACGGACTCCAGGCATGAGGGTGGCAGCTGAGTATGGAAGGACTCTTCACTGAAAGGTTATGGAATATAAGCTAGAAAAGAGCTATTCATATACACAAACTCTAGGCTAGTCAGGGGACTTTTGCGCATCCATTAGAGGGATGTTTACCAACCAACCCAAAGAACCAGTGAACTCTAGAATGCTTATTCCACTGAGACTTGTGTTTTCAAGATGCCTGTAGAGCAGATTACAGAGCTCAAGTGAGAGATCCCTTTCCCGTGGGATACCACACAAAAATGGGATCTATGTGGCTAAAAAGTTATATTGTTGTATATGCCCAGAACTGTTTAATGGTCTAACTTAGGGTAAAGATACAACAAGAAGGCAGCACCATAAAAATGTTCAACTCTGGAAGATGAGAATGTAGCACAGATTTAATTGCACTAAGGTGAGGGAAATAGTTTTCAAAACAGCTTTC